CTTTTTCTCCACGGCTGTCGGTCCGGACCCGGTCGTCCCGTGTCGTCCGCTAAGACGGGGGAAGAGTTACAGGATCACCGATACCATATCCGACCTGCTCGCGATTTCTTCGCCGACGTAGAAATACGTCCGAGTTCGCCAAACGCTTCTTCCCGATTCGTTACGGCGACGCGAGATCCCTCGCTCGAGATTAGAGCACGCCAGCCTTTCGGACGGAATTGCGAACGCCACATTGCCACGCCATCCTGCTTTCCTCGGCCAATGCACACTTTTCCACGACAGAGTTCTGCCATGGTTCCCGGCACCGGATCAGGGATGCTGGCGATTCTTCGCCATACTCGGCGATTCGACACAGATTTAATCGAAATCTTTGATCGTTTCACGGCTTTCCCATGGAAATCCGGTGTACAGGGTGTCCGGGATAGTTTGAAATTGAACTTATAGTACGTGTTGTTAGGGTCAAATAGACGAATGATGTTCGTAGGAACTTGTGCCCGATGATGCTTTGTCGAAAAGGTGTAAACGTTCAGAATTGATAGAAGCATCGGTTTAGAAAAATTCGATAGAAATAGAAGAGCAATTATGGGAATGCACTCGAAATGCATTTAATATTATTTTCAGTTCAACTGGAATGTTTGAATGTGGTCGACGATATAACACATACTATAAGTTTGGTCCCAATCTTTCTGGACACCCTGTATACGATTTGGAACTAGCGGACTATGAAGTTCGAAGAAGACATGCTGATGTAAATGGGAAGGAATTCGGCGGAACTTGTGTCTTTTATGTTCGCGGATTTAGTGCCGTGATAGGAAACGTAGATTTTATTTGGACTGCGGATTTTATGCACTTATGATACGAATTTGTTGAACGTGCACAGAACGGTGTAAACAATCGAGGAATTTGTAGATGCTAATGAACTATTTTCAGCATATTAAAATTATTGCGAAATTAAATATATATCATACGATTTGTGTTTTACATAAAAATCCTCAATGTAATTGCGGGAATAGGATTATGAAGAGGCTTTAAGAAACGGTAGGGAATTATTGCACTTTGTTTTTCTAACGCGTTTCGAAGTTAACGATGACAACGTTCCATATATTTTCCATGGGAGTTTTGTTGGTTGACCATGGAGGGCGATTTGTAACGTTAATTTCAGTTGCATGAAAATGCACCACTGTTAACTTGAATGGTACTATTATCTTTCTAAAATGTTCATTGGATTCAATTGCACCAAGAAATATTGAGATTACATTCTTTAAAAGTGTGTCACAATATTAATAACAATATATGATCCAAGATAATGCCTTTACGATTAAATTCCCTAATTTTACAAAAGTAATAAACCGGTTCATAAAAATTATAAACCAATATAAGGGTCCGTTATTTTGCTTTAAGTTGAAGTTTATAAGTTTACTTAGTTTATAAGTTTTTATAGTTTTTATAGATATATTTCATGTACTTGTTTACAGATATACATTTTGCAGTAATTGTATATAAGGGAATTAAATCAGTAAATAAATAAATGTAAACATCGTTCAAGACATCTTACGCTGAAAGAATGTTTTCTCTCAAATGTATATTGAATTCTCCATATAAAAACTATGTAGCCTCCCGATTCTATAAAACTTAAACGTTGCTTTGTTAATGAGTCGCTCCGTTTTTGCCAGAACTTGTTCATTTTGTGTAAATCATGGAGAACGAAAGAGTGGAATGTAAACTGTTGTTAAAGCAAGTAAATTAGTTGCCCCAATAAAAAGTAAAACGTGGTTCGTGGCAATGTTCGGAACCCTCGCCGTCCAGTTTCTACTAATTTGATTAGACGATTAACTGCATGTCGTGTTCGATTCAGTTTGATTAGACTCCTCCCGACGCGATGCATGTCGTAACGAACTCGTCGAAGCGCCGCCGCTCGATGTAAATGAAAATTACGCAAATGCCGGTACGGTTAATCGAGGTTTCCGTTGTAATTTGTAAACCTTGCGGACAGCGCTGTTGATCCGCTGGCTAAATACGATTTTCCGTCCGAAAGATAATTCATTGGTATCTGTGTTTCTAATTTCTGATTTTCTTGGTTTTCGATTTACGAATTTTAAACGATACTTCATCTGCATTTATTGTTTAAACTTTATTTGCAATTATATGGATTTTTTAAGTTCAGAATCATTGAGAACAATTATTGGAATATTCTAAGATTATTTTATTCAATAAATTCAAATAGGTTTTTCGATGCTATTTCAATGGTTTTTTAATATTTAGCAACAGATATAATTAATATTGTAATTTGAATTGTTATATGTTATCATAAATCTGAATAGTATTGCGTGCTCTATTATATGTATTTTTCACACAATTCGTTATTATATTACTGAAAAGCTTATGTAAATGTTTAAAATGAATTTCTCGTTGTAAGTTAAGCTATTTCCCATACGATTCTTGAAGGTTTAAACAATTTGATGACGTACGTTTTCCTTTGGGTTTTCCATCTGGGATAACAGGGGCAATACATTGTCCGTGAATGCAATGGCCAAGGATATTTTACTTAGAAATGAGAACAAATAGAAAACACAAGTTCCCTCTCGAGAGTGCTTCTACCTTTTCGCAGTAACAGAGTTGAATGCACGTGACGCGGAGCTTGGTGAAACGTAAGATCACGATAGTATTGTTGCTAAATATTTCATATGAGTAAAACAATTGTTGAAAGCTAAAATTTCGAAATAAAAGTTACTGCATTTGTCAGCAATTATGAATGAGATTTAAGATATAAATATGTCAAGTTATTAAAAAAAAATCATTGCAAATTTCTCTAAGTTCCTTATAAAAAAATTATTCTAGGATGAAAGGTATTTGCAATATTAGTGGAGAGAGCAGAAAGCTCTTAGTATGAATTATTATATAATAAATAAAGAGCATGAATTACTATAATATTTAATATTCTTCATTTCGAAATATTTTAGTTTTCAATTTTATGCGACGATATAATAATTGTCTATAGTAAGGTATGCAAATTTCAGATAATTGGTTTAACATGATACAAAAAAGAACATGTTCGATCGATCTCAACTTATTTTTCATTCTCTCCTGTAATTAAACGTAGTATGCACGCGCTTACACTAAAATTACGGTGAATAATATCTTCATTTAACAATCATATATTGCACTATAAATTACTGCTAATTGCATTCACGGGGCACTGAACATGTTGAGTATAATAAATGACGTGAAACAATGGACGTGGCGTTTTTCATCTGCTCAATAAGCCCCGATCCGACATTACGAAGAAAACTTCGTAAAAGTTCAACAATAGGAGAACCGTTAATAATAAAACTGCCAGGGAATTAAAATGAGCTATCATAATTAATCTTCGTAAATTTCCCAAATATTTCTGCATTATGGCTTTTTGGTGAACCGAAATTAAACCGAATAATTCTAATTAATGAAATAAATTGATATCGTCACAAAATCACACAAACTGGCAGTTTATAATATATACTCTCTTAATAATGATAATTTTAGAACATGTTATTCTATAATTTTGTGCATTTTTAGTACTTTTTCGAATGCAATAACATTAAAAATTCGATGGAGAATTAAGAAAATATGTATTTCAATTTCAGAAATCTTTTTTAGAAAAGTTAAACTTATTCTCACGATTAATTATAAATTCTAATCTCTCTGCATTATAAATTGCAAGTAATGTATATTTAAATTTTTAGCTCCAATGATAAATCCAAAAAGAAAACGATGCGCGAGTAATCCATAAATCGAATAAATCCCATGATTCGGTAGCTGAGAAGCGACTGAAACGGTCAGAGAAAATCATGCCATAACTTATCAGCCGCTTGTGCGTATAATTGACATATACAACGGTATGGTTAATTAATTTAATCCCAATTACGACTCTCCGAGGGGAAAATTAGAAGGAATTATACAAGTAGCGCCGCACGGCATAAAATCGTTGAACTAATGATTTACTCAGGAGAACTTATTGCGCATTTCGTGAGATGGCGCGATGTGGCAGTTGTTAAAGACTAATAGAAGAACACGTGCTCAAGTATCGAGTGACCGGAAGTCCTCTTCTGATGCACTTCCGACAATACTCGACGTTTCGCTAGTTTTATTTTCATTTGACGATGAATTTGATTAATAACAACAGCAATAACTTTACTGTCAAAATTGTTTGTGCATCCCTTAAAAATATTAATATTACATTGATATTAATATTAATATTAAATGATGCGCATAAGAAATCTGCGATAAACTCGATTAACGAAAACAGTAAGAAATTATTTTTATATAAAATGGTTTAACTAGCATATCACGGAAGATGCGAGCACCAGAATGGTCAAGCATCCAACTTCAGAATTTGTGCTGGGTAAAAATGTGAGAGAAATTTATTCGTCTTCCCCATTCAATTATGTATCCCGTTCTATCGACGAAGCTTTCGTAAGAAGTCAAATATTTAAGAGCGTCTGAGAATTTTATTATTACATCGTACTCTTCCCCCTTGTCTCTCATCCTTTCTCTTTTGTTTGGAGCAGACCATTGTTGAAAAAGATAATTTACGTCGTTGACATGATGAACTAAACAAGTATTAAATATCCGTTGGCAATGTAAAATAAATGTTTATTGTATCTAACGTAAAAGGCAGAAGGCATAAAGGCATTCTGTCTTCAATCATTTTAACAAGCTGAAATTTACTTCAATTGTTTCAATGTCTCCACTATTTGACATTGAATTTATTCTTGTTATAAATGCATAAAATCTGCAGTCTATTAATAACGAACCTCGTCACTTTTAACGTGGTTTTCATGTTCAGTGCCGTACCAACCAATCTAAGAAAATCGAAACTTTTATGGACGTTTTTATTTCGTTCATCGTTGATACGTTTAATCAACAAAATTATTTTTGTCCAAGAGCGTAGCTGTACTTTTTACGGAAAGTGTACTTACGTCGTGAAAATACGCAAACTTCATTTCACTCGACGACATCTTTTGGATCCAAACATTTCGAAACCTCGCGCCCGGAAACCGGAAATTCCTTGTCAGTTCTCTCGTAACTGTTAAATTACTCGTCTTCATAGTCGCCGCCGGTCGAACAACAAAATGCTTCGAACGGAATATATCACTCCTTGGGTTCGAATGAGCGCGCACATGGAGCACACTCGGAAGGCTGCTAAGCGATATCCCGTGGTAAGTGAAACTTTCGGGCGAATTCGAGGCGTTAATAATTAATGCCTAGTACATGTTCGTTGAACGCTCTATTCTGGAAGTTCGCTTCCGCGGTGAACGAGAATGTTTCCAGATACGGGAAACAATTCTCCGCTGTCAGAGGGATCGGGAATGTATGATTTCAAACCTGTTCTTTCTGGGCTACCGGCCGTATGCTATCTCGCGTTGTTATTTTAATTAAGTATGCACGCGAGCCACGGTACGTTTTTTGCTACACTGGCTGAAAAACGTTCGACCGTAAAAAAAGGAATCAAGTTTACTTAATTTAATTTCTTTTCTACTTTAAGGATTTAGCATACTTCCATGGGAATTATCCTTTTACCTAATCCATGCGAAATAATATTGCATAAAATTATTATTATTATTAAATCATGAATGACACTGAATCAATTTCATCTGTTTTATGGGCCACTCTTATCCATGTACAACTGTTCATGGACTTCGGATGTTATGCTCTTATGACAAAAACGAGTAGGTCCAATTGAAAACCGTGAAAAAATTAAATGTATTTCAGAACAGGAACGATTCATTTTTAACTTATCAAGTTTATTGAGCGCCGTATATTTTGATTCGTCTTCTGTTTTTAACAACTGATGCAGACAATTTTTATTTTGTGTATACAGTGTCTAGTAATACAGCCTCGTAATCAATACTGTTTCACGTTACATGAAATTTAGGGTTCATTCTCAGTAGAAATGTTAAGTACTCCACCTAATTGTTGTTTACATTCATCAGAAAATGAAAACGACATAAATCTTCCATGTCTTGCCGTAGGGCATCAGATGCGATAATAATCGAATATGCCAAATAAAAGGACTTCAGAGCGCAGCACGCTGCAAAATTGATTTCAGCTGGAACCGTTCGCCCCGCGGCATTCGATCACGTACTTTAACAATAATAAAGAAGATAGCAGGGAATCGGCGTACAAACGTCTGCACAGTATGGAGGATTTCGACCCCAGCAAGCCACGATGCGATCGCACGAAAGCAAGCCTTTATTGGTTAGAGATCTCGAAGGAGAACGAAGGTCACAAGGTCCCAATGACTTCTAATCACTGGTACGGTCGACCGAACAGGATCCAAGTCGACGTTCCTGAGAAGAAATTCAATCGGTCGAGCAGGATGCAGGAGTTCTACAGCCGGTGCGGTATCGCCCAAGTCCTAATCAGCGACAGCGACGAACGACGGGCCGAAGTCTGTTAGTGACAAACGATGGGGCGCCATTTGTTTGTTCAACCGACGAATGAGCCAAATGAAAGATTATAATGCACCGAATGTCACTGCGTAATCCGCCATAAATGGGTCAACATAATCTGTCCGAATGACTTGGCGAAACAATGAATCTGCAGATCTAATACACGAGAATGTCCAAAATATTGTAATAATATTGTTGCGAAAATAAAGAATAAGATTGAACTCCTCTATTTTCCGTGATTGTTTTATAGTGAACAGTTATTAAGGAAAACAACGAGGTATTTTAATCATTCTTGAATACTAGTTCTTGCATTATAATTGGTTTAATATGTGTTCGAGTATCTAATGTGTGACGCGATTGCTATAGCTCGAATTTTCTAATCTCCTAAAATCCGTTTAGCTTGAATACATAAAGGAAGGTCGGACTGTGTAAACTGGCTATGTTAAACATAAGTAGCTTAACCGGTGCGAGCACAGTGATTATTTCCATCGACAAGCTGTATATAACGTTGTAGATTATTGTCTTTGAATTATTTGCAGTAGCTTCGCACGCTCGCATAACACATCACATAGAATAGGAAATGGAACCTTTGACAAATCAAAATGGTTTATCTAGCGAAAATCCAAACTCAACAGAAATAACGAGATACTGATGTATAAATGTGTAATTAAACTGATATGGATTTTCATACGAAAAATGAAAGATCGGCGGGTAGAAATATCGAAGAAGAAATCCAGCAACTTTCTAAACATTGTAAAACCATAGTCGATTCACATACAAATTCTTCGATGGCAAACTGTTACAACGATATAATAAGAGGACTAAAACGCACACACCTTCTTCACATAATTCAACTCTTATCGTTCAATCTACACCTATTAACACTAATTTATGTTATACAAGTTAAATTTTCAATTTTAATTGAAATCAATAAAATACTTTATTGTTATGAAATGTTTGAGGTTGTTGTGACGTGGCAGTCAAAGCGTTCAATTGATTTCGAACACAGTCAAGCAGTGACTATTGTAAACTTGTCGCTGGAAATAGCGAAAGCCATTTTGTAGATCCTTTAATTGTTTGTTGATATTATGTAAATAATAGGTACAAATAAATACAGGATAATAGGAAGATATTTTACAGATGCCTTTTGCGTGGGGCAATTAAGAGACGAGCCGCTAAAAGTAGTGAAACACGGTTTGCGGGGAAAAGCTGGCCGCGTTTAAGCCGGGTCATATATCAATTCGATTAAAAAATTACTCGGTCCGCGGCGAGTTGTTTGCACGCGGTAATTAATTTAGCTGGTATGCAAGGTGGCCGATGCGATGCGATGCGATGGCTCGATTTTTTTCTTCGCCATGAAATTCCTTACAGCTGAAACTGTACTCTCGGCCCGAACCGGCGCGGGTCGATCCTCCTCGCCGACGACCGGAGATGGATCGAGTAAATATCACAGGGCTCATGGACGGAATAACTTTTCGTCCCGAGCAGCAGCCTCTGCGAGGACCGCCTGACGATTCATAAATGACCACCACGCGCGCTGCTCCTTGCTCAGGCGTCGATGCTCAGAATTCTGTTGTACACTGCTTGCCGCACGTTTCTCGAATTCGTCTAAACCCTAAAGAATAGTTTAGCTTTCGGGAGAGTGAATGAAGGGAGCGGGAATGGTAGCCTGCTATACGTCAAGCAGGGAGAAAGATCCAGGCCATTCATATAGTTGATTATCTTGAAGTCCCATTGAGTTGTTTTAAAGTTGCTCCAAGCTGTTTTTGTTTTGTATTTAGCAGTTTACAAATTTTGTATTGAGTAGTTTGCAAATCCAGATAGATACGAGTACATAAAGTGTAGCCGCTATAATCTTATTATTTTGTATCGTATTTTATTGCTTAACATGTATCGAGAAGTTCTGACATAATTCTATTTATTGCAAAGTTTCATACTACTCTCATTATATTTCTAGCCAGCATTCTTTCAGGAAAGTATATCAAATCCAACAAATCGCAGTAATTACGAAGAATTATGCAATCGCAATTGTTGAAAAAAATTTCAACATTTGTGCGCCATAAACGGGACACCGCCACAGAATATGATCAATATCCTGTCTGTTCCAACCGCACGTACATTTGGGATCGTCTACAACTTTAATTTTCCCAAGCGAGAAGGCAAGACTGCAATGCTCGGATCAGATTCGGTTGATCGTGATAACAATTTATCGAGGTAAATCTTTATTACAGAACCATGGCTTATTCTTTTCGTCGTCGAAGTGCTCAGAATAATTAATCCCTTTATGCGAGCCTTTATTTATCTTGCTTTTATTTTTATGCAATATTATAGTGCGGTCTGAAAAACCTACAATAATTAGATGTAGAATTAGAATTTCAGTAATTAGAAAATAAAATATAGAGAAACCATAATTTCAAAGTAAATAAAGAGATAAAAGTAGCTCAATTTGAATCAATATCTATCTTGAACCTATAGTTGTGACAACTTTGTGACAACTATTTATCTTGCTTTTATTTTTATGCAATATTATAGTGCAGTCTGAAAAACCTACAATAATTAGATGTAGAATTAGAATTTCAGTAATTAGAAAATAAAATATAGAGAAACCATAATTTCAAAGTAAATAAAGAGATAAAAGTAGCTCAATTTGAATCAATATCTATCTTGAACCTATAGTTGTGACAACTTTGTGACAACTATTTATCTTGCTTTTATTTTTATGCAATATTATAGTGCGGTCTGAAAAACCTACAATAATTAGATGTAGAGTTAGAATTTCAGTAATTAGAACATAAAATATAGAGAAACCGTAATTTCAAAGTAAAATAAAGAGATAAAAGTAGCTCAATATTTGAATCAATATCAATCATGAACCTATAGTTCTGACAAAAGAAGTACATAGACAGTTTCGATGATATATGTGTACAATGGAATTGTTGAAGATTGTACGTCACCCTTCGCTGGTGTTTTGACAATTCGGAGTTCAGTCACAGCAACGTGCAGGTGCCCGTAGAAACGATGCAAGCTTCCTTCCTCTGACAACTTGTGTCCACGTAAATGGTTGTCTTCTTCGTCACAATTAACACAAACACACACTAGTACGTCTAGATCGCAGTAGTTTACTCAAGCCGCTTTGAAATTTTACTTACGCGATAATTGACGCATCTTCATTGTTTAATCGAGGAGCACTAACTGCCTCCTCCAGCGCTGGCACAGCCATTTCTAACTTTCTGACCACGTGACGTAACATCGATAGACCGGCAACTTCAACTTGACCGTTCTACCGCGAAATTTTTGTCGCGCGTCCGGTGGACCAAAATGGCGGACTGTTAGTGCAAAGGACATTTTGTGCTCCTCGGTAAAGCGATAAATGTATTATTTATATTGCGTTAGAGAAGTCTCCAAGTTGTTTCAGTGAACGAGTTAAGTGTTTGGAACGAGTCGAAATGTTTGTGAAAGGTAATTTATCAAGAGTGATGCTTCCCGTGTAGGGGAACAGAGAATTTGTTGCAACCACGCTGCGGATTTTAGGACGAATAGAAAACGTTAAATACACTGGAAGAAGGAAAATAAACTGTACACCGGTACGCGGTAAGCGAATCTAGAAATTTTGATATAGTATATTGCAATTTTGATATTGCATAAAAATTCACGGCGCATTCGTAACTGTGGATCATGCTCGATTTTTTAAAATCTGCTAAAGTTAAAGATTGTATAAAAGAAGAAAAACTCGTACAGAGTAATTATATAGTATAATTTATATAATTCATTTATTTATTTATTAATTTATATTATTATATAGTATATAGTGTATATAATTATATAGTATAATTTATATAATTATATATACTATATACTATATAATAATACTTATATAGTATAGTATATACTATATATATAGTATATAATATATATATATATTTTTAGTAATTGTTGATTTCTGAGTTCGTTCGCATTTTTGTATTTAATTTTATAAGACCCAAAAT